AGAGGAATGGGGGAAAGATAAAGAACTTCAATTTTTTTTTCATAATATTTTAGCTTTGCAAGCTACGGTCTCTGTCACAACTAATTAACTCATATTACATCAAGAATGTAGTCATAGGCTATACATACATGATTGTGAGTCTGTTTCAATAAAACCTCATTTATATATGTCTACATTTGAATTTCATGTAATATCATGTTTCACAAAATATTCTTTTCATTTTTTAACCTCTTAAAATGTAAAATAATTCTTAGCTCTAAGACTATACAAAAACAAACCATCACCTGGATTTGACCCATGTGCTGTGTTTGGTAAAGTTTCTCAAACATTTGAAAAGTTTAGGCTCTAGAAATGAATTAATGAGGTCTTTATTAATTTTCTACAGTTGTTATAACAATTTGTTGTAATAAATGAACGCAAATTTAATGGCTTAAAAATACACAAAACTGTCATCTCACAATTCTATAGATCACAAGTCTGGGCACAGTATGGCTCAACTGGTTCTTTGCTCTGGGCTTTGTTGGATTGAAATCAAGGTTAGCAGGAATTCATTTCCGTCTGAAGGCTCTAGTGGAGAATATGTTCCCAGGCTTATTTCTAGCTGTTGCCACAATTCAGTTCCATATGGTTGTAGGACTGAGCCTCCTGTTTCTTAGGTGGCTCTCAGTTGGAAGCCTCCCCAGTTTTTAGAGCTACCCACATTCCCTGACTCATGGAACCCTTCAAAACTAGCAACCGTAGATAATATCCTTCCCACAATTCAAGTCTGACTTTTCTTGTCTGCCTTATCTTTCTGAAGAATCTCTTCTGTCGCATCTCTTCTACTGCATTGTTCTGACTTCTGTTTGCACTTTTAAGGGCCCAAGTGATTACAGTGGGCCCTCATGAACAATCCAGGAAAATCTCCCTTTCTTAAAGTTGGCTGATTACCAACATTAACTCTATTACTAAAGACTTATTTGCCATGTAAAGCAACATATTCACAAACATAACCCCAGGAGTGGATGAAGGTCATAAGATGAGAAGGGACAAAATTCACAACATCCATGCCACCATATGTTATTCTGACCAAAACCATCTAGTTTCCAGCCTTGTTGAATTGTTAAGAGGTCCAATCTTTTCACCTCTTCCTTTTTTTTTGTAGTACTCTCTCTCTGCTTAAAGACATAGACAGGATCCCCCTAGTGGTAGAGTGTATAAGAATTCACCCATTAATGCAGGGGACATAGATTTGATCTCTGGTACATGAAGTTTCCACATGCTACGGAGCAACTAAGTCTGTGCGCCACAAGTACTGAGTCCACACTCTAGAGCTGGCAAGCTGCAACTACTGAGCCACTTGCTGCAACTACTAAAGCCTGTGTGCCTAGAGCTTGGGTTCTGCAACAAGAAAAGTCACGGCAATAAGTCTGTGCACAGCGACAAAGTACAAAAGAAAAAAACATATAAAGATACACGTGTGTGTGTGTGTGTATGTGTATGTGTGTGTGTGTGTGCATGCTCAGTCACTCAGTCGTGTTTGACTCTTTGTGACCCTGTGGACTGTAGCCTGCCTGGCTACTCTGTCCATGGAATTTTCCAGGCAGGAATACTAGAGTGGGTTGCCATTCCCTACTCCAGGGGATTTTCCCAACCCAGGGACTGAAGCTGCATCTCTTATGTCTCCACCATTGGAAGGCAGATTCTTTACCAAACATACAGAGAAAAACCAGAAAAATTTTTATCATAAGTGATGATCTGGACAAGTGTATTTACTTTTAACACTTTCTAGGTGATTTAAAAATCATCCAGATTAGAAGCACTGTTCAGATTTTCTAAAGAAAATACAGATACTTGGTGCCACAATCCAAGGTCTTGAATATAGTTTTAGTTTTCTACTGATAATCTAAAGTGACCAACAGCAGAGAGAAAGGTTTTAAATGGACAAATCCAGCAGCTCCAGTTTTCTACTTTTTTAAAATAAGTAATCCATGAAAATAATCTCAATATTGATCAATTGAAAATTATAAACTATGTGGAAGTTTTAGTTTTTATTCTTTTTGAATATAGTTGAATTATCAAATATAGATAGTATCTGCTTGGCAGTGTGCTCATAAGGAACTTGAGTGTGATTAAACGTGATGTTGGGAAGCCTGAATTTTGAGGACTATGTATTATATACTGTTAACATATGCTGAATTCTATGTATTCAGAAAAAAAATATGTAACAATATAACAGGGCTATGTTGAGCACATAAAGGCAAAGCTTACAGTTAACAAAATTATGAGGTAGTTGGCATGGGTCTTTGGGACTCACCTATTTCCTGGGTAAGTGTACTTCTACCACCATCCAAGCCTCAACTTCCCCAAATGCCTATTATCTTCACCTTTCACGTATGGTCTTGCTTTATTTCAACTGTCATCTTTTTTCTAAGCTGAGACCTTTCTAAAATCAGTAAAAGACTTTAGAATTATGAAAGGGAGATTCTGAAAGAAGAAATATTGTATATACTGAAATTTTAGTTACTATAAATGCAGAAGGTGGGTGCAGCAGCTATCAAGGTTAAAGTTTCCATTCACACAGTTCCTGTTGTGCCAGGATTTTTAAATTATGTCCCATAATTTTTTAACACTTTGATTTTAGTTTTTTCTTAATTTTTTCTCTACATTAGGTGCTTTTAGTAGCTACTGCCTAATGAAATCAATGAATAAGCACAAAACAAATTATAAAAAGGTAAAAGTATTAAGTGCACAACATGTTCTAGGCACTTTGCCACCAGAATATTTTTGAAAAGAACAGGCTACTTAACTGTTTACTACATGATTCATAGCTATTAAATTGTCAAATACCCCCAAATTTATGTGTATATCCTGTACTATCCAAATCAAAGTCTAAGGATGGTAATTTGTAGAAATGGAGAAATTGACTCCAAAATTTATATGTATATACAAACCCAGATTAGTCTTCTTGAAAAGGAAGAAGTTGGAAGATTTACATTTTATTATCTCAAGATTTACTCTAAATCTTTATTCATCAAGACAATTTGAAACATTGTGATGAGACTAAATAGAGCAAGAAAACATAATTGATATTTGAAAATTATACTCACAGAAGTAGCCACACTGATTTCCAAAGAAGGAGTGATTTTAAGTCAGAGGAAAAAAATGTTAATATTTTTCAGCAATTGGTAATGGAACAACTTGATATCCATATGGGGGAAAAGCAAAACAAATCAAAACCACAAACTCTACTTCAAATCATCCATAGACATTAACTTAAGCTGATCATACACTTAAGTGTGAATAGTAAATCTATAAAACTTTTAAACTAAACTTCTAAAGCTCAAGAGAATACCTTTGTGATTTATATTAAATACTACTTGTAGTGGAAAAGACACAGATAACATTAATCATAAGATGAGAAAAACAATAAATTGGACTTATCAACCTTAAAACCTCTTAAAAGACATCTTTAAGAAAATAAATAAATGAAACATGGAGAAGATATTTAAAAAATCATATATTTTTTTAACACTTTGATTTTAGTTTTTTCTTAATTTTTTCTCTACATTAGGTGCTTTTAGTAGCTACTGCCTAATGAAATCAATGAATAAGCACAAAACAAATTATAAAAAGGTAAAAGTATTAAGTGCACAACATGTTCTAGGCACTTTGCCACCAGAATATTTTTGAAAAGAACAGGCTACTTAACTGTTTACTACATGATTCATAGCTATTAAATTGTCAAATACCCCCAAATTTATGTGTATATCCTGTACTATCCAAATCAAAGTCTAAGGATGGTAATTTGTAGAAATGGAGAAATTGACTCCAAAATTTATATGTATATACAAACCCAGATTAGTCTTCTTGAAAAGGAAGAAGTTGGAAGATTTACATTTTATTATCTCAAGATTTACTGTAAATCTTTATTCATCAAGACAATTTGAAACATTGTGATGAGACTAAATAGAGCAAGAAAACATAATTGATATTTGAAAATTATACTCACAGAAGTAGCCACACTGATTTCCAAAGAAGGAGTGATTTTAAGTCAGAGGAAAAAAATGTTAATATTTTTCAGCAATTGGTAATGGAACAACTTGATATCCATATGGGGGAAAAGCAAAACAAATCAAAACCACAAACTCTACTTCAAATCATCCATAGACATTAACTTAAGCTGATCATACACTTAAGTGTGAATAGTAAATCTATAAAACTTTTAAACTAAACTTCTAAAGCTCAAGAGAATACCTTTGTGATTTATATTAAATACTACTTGTAGTGGAAAAGACACAGATAACATTAATCATAAGATGAGAAAAACAATAAATTGGACTTATCAACCTTAAAACCTCTTAAAAGACATCTTTAAGAAAATAAATAAATGAAACATGGAGAAGATATTTAAAAAATCATATATGTGATAGATGACTTAATCCAGAATATATTTTTATACCATTATATATTAAAAAGTTAAAAAGTAACAGTAAAAATGAGAAAAGACTTGAACATACATTTCAAAAGGAAGATAAAAACATGAACAGAAAAACATGCAATGGAAGCTCAACAACGTTGATCCTCAGGGTAACATAAAGTAAAAACAAAATAAAAGATTATACTTTATACTTAAATGCTAAAAAGAAAAAAAGAGAGAGAGAGATTTAGCATTGTAGAGGTTGTGGAACAATTAGAACTGGAATATAAAATGATATTAACCACTGGAAAAGAGTATGATAGTTTCTGATAGTCACACACAAACCCACCCTACCACCCAGGAATTGAACTCACACAGAAAACTAACTTTACTAACTTTACTCAACATAGCCAACAACTATAAACAACCAAATATTCATCAATGGTGAATGAATAAATACATTGCTACATATTAATACAATGGAGCATTACTCAGTGATTAAAAGGAATGACATTTTTGTTGATTTATGCAGCAGTGTGGATAAATTTAAGAAGCATTGAGGAAAGATATCTGACTTAAAAGATTACACATGGGCAGTGCGGCGTCTAGAGGAACAGCGAGAGGGAGACAGACGTTGAGAGAACGAGAAGGAAGGAGAGAAAATGGCATCCACGGATTATAGTACATACAGCCAAGCTGCAGCCCAGCAGGGCTACAGTGCTTACACTGCCCAGCCCACTCAAGGATATGCACAGACTACCCAGGCACATGGGCAGCAAAGTTATGGAACCTATGGACAGCCCACTGATGTCAGCTATACCCAGGCAACCTATGGGCAGACCGCCTATGCAACTTCTTATGGACAGCCTCCCACTGGATATTCTACTCCAACTGCCCCCCAGGCATACAGTCAGCCTGTCCAGGGGTACGGCACTGGTGCTTATGATGCCACCACTGCTACGGTTACCACCACCCAGGCCTCCTATGCAGCTCAGTCTGCGTATGGCACTCAGCCTGCTTACCCAGCTTATGGACAGCAGCCAGCAGCCACTGCGCCTGCGAGACCGCAGGATGGTAACAAACCTGCCGAGACTAGTCAATCTCAATCTAGCACAGGGGGTTACAACCAGCCCAGCCTAGGATATGGACAGAGTGACTACAGTTATCCCCAGGTACCTGGGAGCTACCCCATGCAGCCAGTCTCGGCACCACCGTCCTACCCTCCTACCAGCTATTCCTCTACACAGCCGACTAGTTACGATCAGAGCAGTTACTCCCAGCAGAACACCTATGGGCAGCCGAGCAGCTACGGGCAGCAGAGTGGCTACGGCCAGCAAGGCAGCTATGGGCAGCAGCCGCCCACCAGTTACCCCCCCAGACCGGGTCCTACAGCCAGGCTCCAAGTCAGTACGGCCAGCAGCGCAGCAGCTACGGGCAGCAGAGTTCATTCCGACAGGACCACCCCAGTAGCATGGGTGTTTATGGGCAGGAGTCTGGAGGATTTTCCGGACCCGGAGAGAACCGGAGCATGAGTGGCCCTGATAACCGGGGCAGGGGAAGAGGGGGATTTGATCGTGGAGGCATGAGCAGAGGTGGGCGGGGAGGAGGACGCGGTGGAATGGGNGTGGGAGAAAAATCAACGTGTAAGTGGACCCTCAAGCATTTCATAACGTTTGTCAAAGGGTCACCTGCAGCCCCAGCATCAGTTCTGAACTGTGACCCGATGTGCAGTGAGGGAAGTGCTGTGCACCCAGCCTTCTGTCTTGGCACTGAGTGTCCTCCTGCGCGCTCCCCCCGGGCGGTGACCGCGGCAGAGGTGGCCCTGGAGGCATGCGGGGAGGAAGAGGTGGCCTCATGGACCGCGGTGGTCCTGGTGGAATGTTCAGAGGCGGCCGTGGTGGAGACAGAGGTGGCTTCCGCGGCGGCCGGGGCATGGACCGTGGTGGCTTTGGTGGTGGAAGACGAGGTGGCCCTGGGGGCCCCCCTGGACCACTGATGGAACAGATGGGAGGACGGCGAGGCGGGCGAGGAGGACCTGGAAAGATGGATAAAGGCGAGCACCGTCAGGAGCGCAGAGACTGGCCCTACTAGACGCAGAGACCCGCAGAGCTGCATTGACTACCAGATTTATTTTTTAAACCAGAAAATGTTTTAAATTTATAATTCCATATTTATAATGTTGGCCACAACATTATGATTATTCCTTGTCTGTACTTTAGTATTTTTCACCATTTGTGAAGAAACATTAAAACAAGTTAAATGGTAGTGTGCTGAGTTTTTTTTTTCTTCTTATTTTAAAGATGGTTGTTTAAGACTAAACAATGGGAACCCCTTGTGAGCATGCTCAGTATCATTGTGGAGAACCAAGAGGGCCTCTAACTGTAACAATGTTCATGGTTGTAATTTTTTTTTTTAATAAAATTCCAAATGTTTATAAACAGTCAAAAAAAAAAAAAGATTACACATGGTATGACTCCACTTACATGAAGTTCTAGAGCAGTCAAAGTCCATCTTTGTTGAGGAACAGACTTGTTTTCTTTTTTCTCTTTTTTGTAAGAGGAGACAGTTAACTGCAAAGAAGCAGTAGAGAATGTTCCAGAGGGGATTTCTATGCTCTATATCTTGACTGGGTTATAATAATATTTACATAGCATATTCACATGTCAAAACTCAATAACATTTAAAAATCTGTCATATTATTGTAGCTACACTATTCCCCTGAAGTCTCATCTATGGCCAATGAGAAAAATCAATATTTTGATTGCCTCTGACTCTAGGCATCTGCATCAATGCTCTGAAACAGCCCAGAAGACATTGAAATGGAAATACTCAACTTACCCTCACCAAAGACCTTAAAGCAGGTCAGTACCTGAATCCAGGGACTTTATCATGTGGCATCAGCATTCCCCAGGTAAAAAGGCTTTCTCTGACTCTTTATGTCTTAAAATACATCACCTGCGTGTGGAGCCCAGGGCAGGGGAGATTCTCTCTGTGACTATGGGGAGCAGCTCCATTGTGAGGACAATGCCTAAGACAATTCTCTCCCTCCTGCAGTGTCTCGTTCCTTTCTCCAGTCTGTTACCTTGTACTGTCCTGTGGCTACTAGTGGGGCTCTGCCTGCAATGCAGGAGACCTGGGTTCAATCCCTGGATTGGGAAGATCTCCTGGAGAAGGGAAAGGCTACCTACTCCTGTATTCTTGCCTGGAGAATTCCATGGACGGAGGAGCCTGTCGGACTACAGTCCATGGAGTTGCAAAGAGTCGGACAGAACTGAGCAACTAAAACCCACTCTTCACTTTCACTAGTGGGGCTAAAGGGAGACAGGTCTTACTTAGAAAGGGAACGTTTGGGTCCCTCACTGGCGAGACTACTGACTTCTCGTAAGGGGCTGAGACAGGTAAACTGGCTTGGTTCCTCCGTGGCCCGAACTGTAGGCGGGAGATACCAACACCCGAGGCGTCCGTCCGCGGGCCCCGCCGTGACCCGCCTCCCTGGCGGCGCCCCGTGGCTCGGGTCGCTCAGGCTCGTGGGCTCGCGTGGGTCTGAGGCCCAGCGCTGGCAGGCGGTGCTCCGGCCGAGCGCGGGGCTGGGTTTCCTGCTTGTCGCCCGCCCGCCAGGGGCGTCCTTCCCTCCCTGCCTCACTCTCTCGCCTCCCCTGGATCCGGTCACTTCTCCCTGCCGGGTTCTGTCTCGGGCTGACCACGGGCCCCTTCAGCAGAGGACAGATGGAGATGGACTCGGGGAAGGACGCCTCGCCAGGGCGGGCTCTGGGAGCCGGCGGTGAGCTCCAGGAGGGATACCACCCGCGAGGCGAGCCTACCCGAGACTGTTCGGCGCCCCCGCAGCTCAGGCAACGCAAGCGCTCACTGCCGCCCGTGCTGGAGGCTGAGATGGGCATGGAGGCGTGTCCAGCGGAGGCCCCGAGCTTGGTCAGCACGCTGCGCCCCAGCAACTGCACTTTACACCTGTCGCAGGCTGATCGTTAGTTCTCCCTTCCTCAAAGGATGGGGCAGGGGCAAGGAGGGAAATCTAATCTGCCAGTAATCGAATCTGCTCTTTTACTCTGCAGGGGGCGAGACTGAATTCACTGGTCAAGATTCTTAGAGTCACAGGCAGGTGCCTCTAACGGGACTGGACAAATCCTCTTTTGGAAGAAAAGAGGATTTTATTTTTCGGGGTGTTTTCCAAATTGCTCATGAGAATGGAGAACTCAGTCAGCTGCTATTTGAAAAATAACAGGCAAATGCAATGACAAATCTCTCCTACATAGTAATATTTTTTCACATGGAACCCTCAAAAAGGGAACTACTTTACCTACTGAAATAAGTTATAAAATTAACAAATTCTGGGTACCTAACATACAGCAATTGTGATTATAGCTACGAGCACTGTATTATATATGTGAATGTTGCTAAGACAGTAAATCTTAAGAGTTTTCAAAAAATGAAGTTAATTAGGAACTTCTCTAGCTGCTCAGGCATGAAGAATTCACCTTCCAATGCAGGGGGTGAAGAATCCATCCATAGTCCAAGGAGCTGAGATCCCACATGCTTCAGATCCAACCAATCAAACTATAATACAGGAACAAAGTTGTATCAATATTGCTTTAAAATGAACTTTAAAAATGGCCTGCATCAAAGTAATGAAGTGATGAGATGGAGGTGCTACAGTGTATAAATGAGTCAGTACATTGTACACCATACATTTACACAACGTTGTATGTCTATCACATCTCAGTATCAGTTCAGCTCAGTTCAGTTCAGTCGCTCAGTCCTGTCTGTCTCTTTGCAACTTCAGGGACTGCAGAACGCCGGGCTTCCTTGTCCTTCACCAACTCCCAGAGTTTAGTTAAACTCATGTCCACTGAGTGGGTGATGCCATCCAACCATCTCCTCCTCTGTCGTCCCCTTCTCCTCTCACCTTCAATCTGTCCCAGCATCAGGGTCATCAGCATCAAATGAGTCAGTTCTTCACATCAGGTGGCCAAAGGACTGGAGTTTCAGCTTCAGCATCAGTCTTTCCAATAATTATTCAGGACAGATTTCCTTTAGGATGGACTGGTTGGATCTCCTTGCAGTCCAAGGGACTCTCAAGAGTCTTCTCCAACACCACAGTTCAAAAGCATCAATTCTTTGGTGCTCAGCTTTCTTCACAGTCCAACTCTCACATCCGTACATGCCTACTGGAAAAACCATAGCCTTGACTAGACAGACCTTTGTTGGCAAAGTAATGTCTCTGCTTTTTAATATGTTGTCTAGGTTGGTCATAGCTTTTCTTCCAAGGAGAAAGCGTCTTTTAATTTCATGGCTGCATTCACCATCTGCAGTGATTTTGGAGCCCCCCAAAATAAAATCTGTTACTATTTCCCCATGTATTTGCCATGAAGTGATGGGACCAGATGCCATGATCTTAGTTTTATGAATGTTGAGATTTAAACCAACTTTTTTACTCTCCTCTTTCATTTTCATCAAGAGGCTCTTTAGTTCTTCTTCGCTTTCTGCCATAAGGGTGCTGTCATCTGCATATCTGAGTTTATTGATATTTCTACCGGCAATCTTGATTCCAACTTGTGCATCATCCAGTCCAGCATTTCTCAAGATGTACTCTGAATATAAGTTAAATCAACTATACATCTCAGTATAGCTGGGAATATGTGTAAACCAATAGCCTTTAAGATATGGTATGTTTTTGAGATTCCAGCAAACTATCCTCATAAAATTAATGTTTATAAAACAGTTCTTTATACAACCGTTCATTTGTTCCTCACAACAATTAGTCTAGTGAATAAAAAATGATATCACTTGTAGATACAAGGAAACTGAACTTTATCACGTTATGACTATCCTAAATCATAAACAAGCCCTCCTGTCACAAACACTGGTCTCCTGCTCAGCACAAAATAGTGGTTCAATAAAACTTGAGATGAATAAAAGAACCCAGAAGATCAAAGATAGACTGGTTCCTGGAAATTTCTGTTTAGAATGCTCAGTTCATGTTCCTCTTATTAAGGGGAAGACTTTGCAAAGCCATTTTAAGTGCAGTGTTCCTTGTAGTCTCATTTTTTAGATGATTTGTTTGTAGGAAAATCTGTCTTTTGTGAATTTTATTAAAAAGAGGATACAAGTTTAAACATCACTCTTTTGAGTTTCTATTTTGAACAGGATTGATACTTGAAATACTGCCTTAGTATCCTCTGTTTCTAAAGTAAATGCACAGGAACATGTGTTAATTGGATACCAGTCCTGTGAGTAACAGTACAATTCACAATAGATATAACTAGATGCATACAAGTCAACTCACTTAGGAAGGATATGTCATTTGGGGGAAAAATGACACCATGCTTTAAAGCAGGACTCTTACTCCAGTAGGGTATGGTGGTTTCTAACAATAGCTTTCTTGCTTAGTTTGAAAGACTATGATTTGACCTGTGTATACAACTAGGACATATGGCTACTTAGTTACAAGAGAAAGAGTTTACTAGGAAACTGCATTCATAATTTGTAGAATGCATTTTTATTTGCATAGCAAATTGTTTTATTTCATATTCTTATCAAGTAGTGTGAAGTTTGCTAGATGCTTTTATTATTCTCCTCTTTTAAAATGGAAAAATCAGACTCAGAGAGGCCAAGTAACTTGTACAAAGTTGCTTAGCAACTAATATAGTGGAGAGGTCACTAATATCCAGCTTGTATCATTTCAAAACTTATGCTTTCTCGAGAAAATCTATTAAAGGAAAGACTATTTCTTATGTAAAAAAAGACCTTTTCCTTCTTTAAAAATAGTTGTACAAACCTGTATAATAAGTAAAATTTTATTACTCTTATTTGATATACTAGAATAAAGTAACAGACTACCATGATAGCTTGCTGGTTTGCTAGATATCCTAGTTAGTTTACTAGGATAGTTGGCTAGAATCTCAAAAATATACTGTATCTTAAAGGATATTGGTTTACACATTTTGCCAGCTATATTGAAATATAATAGACATACAACATTGTGTAAATGTATGATGCATGGGTTAACACGTTTATACACTGTATAATACATCTGATCACTTAATTATTTTAATGCTTTTAAAATTCATCCATGGAAAGGAGTTATCACAATAGACTTTGCTTAGGTTGTTTTAACAACCCTGTTTTGCTGGAGTATCAGCTTCCCATAAATAACCTCAAGGAAGATTGGCCTATTGCATATTTTCTACAAGCGGAAAACAGTGTCTACCTTATCAAGATCTGAACGCAACAGAGAATCACCTCTTGGAAAATGAAACTAAGTGAGGTTTTGGAGACCACTAGGTTTAGAGAAGTAAAGTATTTTTTTTAACGTTTTATTTTGGGTGGGGATATAGCCGATTAACAAATAATGTTGTAATTGTTTCAGGTGGACAGTGAAGGGACTCAGCCATATGTATGCATGTATCCATTCTCCACTAAACT